CTGGGACATGGCGGCGCCCGCCCGAGAGAGGGAAAGGCTTCTTCCGGGGGTGGGGGAGGCGGCGCGCGCGTTTGCCGTACGCCAAGATGGCGGGACTCATTTGAACCTCCGTCCGTTTTTCCTCAGCCGTTTTTCCCGCCGCCGCCGCTGCTGCTGCTGCTCCTCTCGGCGAAAGCGCCTCCTGCGGGAAATAAACGACCCGGATTCGCGGAAGGGCTGAGCTGGGGGTGGCGGGGCCTCGGCTTAGCGGGTGGCGTGAACGCAGGCGACTCCTTTATTCGCCGAAAGAGAGGGGCCGCAGTCCGTTTCCAACCCTTCCAAGGAGGGAAATGGCGCCTCCTTCGTGCGGCTGGTCCAGAGGGCAACGCCTCTCCCGGGTTGCCCTGGCACGTTATCCCGCAGTTTTGCATCAATTTTCTTAGGGCAGACTGGAAGAAAAGATCCCGCCGCTATGCGACCCACCCCCCGAGGTCAAGGGGAGCCGCCAACGAGAGTCCCCTCCTGGACAACAAGGCCACGGAACGATCTTGCTTTCCCTGCCTGGGATGGAGATCTGTGGAAACGCCATCGGTGGAAGGAGATTAATGTTCATCCAGAGCAGGAAAACAAGAGGAATCCTCGATTAAACGTTGGAAGAGCATCCAAGAAAGAGACCGGAGTCTCTCCAGGGCGTGGGCAAAAAAGTCAAGATGGCAGCTGCCATGGTGCAACCCCAGCTCTTTTTATGTGTGTCAGGTGCCACAAGGCTCATTCAAGTGGGCGGAGCCTGATCTCACTGTAGTGACTGCCATCTTGACTTCTTTTGATCTCCCCACCCCACCCCAAAGAAGGCGGCAGTGTCAAATTATGTCCATGCTAACTGTTATGAAGAAAATTGCATGTTTTCTTTAAAAAGAAAAAAAAATCAGAAAGAGGAGAGACAGTTTGGTGTCATCATACTGGGCTAGAAACCAGGAGATTGTGAGTTCTAGGCCTCTCTTTGGCATGAAAGGGACTGGGTGACTTTGGGCCAGTCACTCTCATTCAGCCCAACCCACCTCACAGGGTTGTTGTTGGGAAAATAGGCTGGAGTGTTAGGTAATGTTCGTGCCTTGAGTTATATATGAGAAAGAGAGGATGAAATAATAATGGTGATGTGACTCAAAACTGTCAAGATATCTAAGGTTCCCTATTTAGCAAGGAGCACATACTCATAGACAATGGATTTCCATTGATGAATTTCAATTTATAGGGGAAAAGGTAATTCCTGTGGTGGTCTGGTTTGAATCTATCACATCTCCTGACTTAAAGCAACTGGGTGGTTTGCGGCAAAAACCCACAGTACGATAAAATAATACAGTGATTAAAACAACAAAAGATGACACAAACCAGACAACGAGCAAAGCCAATCTGCGTTACCCAGAAGGGGCCTTCAGTCACCCTCACCAAAGGCCTGGGTGAAGAGCCAGGATTTCAAGCCTCTCCGAAATTCCAGCAGGGTGAGGGCCATCCAGATCCCAGAGAACCTCGTTCCAGAGGGCAGGCGCTGCTATGCAGAAGTTGCACTTCCAGGGTCCTGATAAATGGCATGGTTTAATAGAAGGAACGCAGTGCACACCAACCCTGTTAGATCAGCTGGGCAGATACTGTGGGTGATAGGAAGTCCCGCAAGTGACCAGGCCCTATGCCACACAGGGCTTTATAGGTAACAATCAGCACCTTGCCTTGCACTGGGAAGCAAGCTGGCAGAGCAGAGGGGTTATGTGGGCATACCAAGGCATGCCCATCACTGCCTGCAGTGCTGCATTCTAGACTAGTTGAAGCCCCTGGGTGGATTTCAAGGATGGCTCCATGTAGAGCACATTGCAGTAGTCAAGCTGCCAGGTGACCAGGGCATGAAGGACCACTCAGTCTTGTTTAATCTACATGTATAGATTGAACAGAAGAGTCAATCTTTGAAATAAACTAGAAAGCAAAAAATTAGACTAGGATATCCACTGATAAGGAAATAATTGAGTCTCTAATTTTAAAAAGTCTAGTAACAATGAATTATAAATTGAGAGATTGACCTAGAAAAGAGGACTGCATACTAAAAGAAGAAATAATACTGATTGTATATGTTTAGTATTGCTAGTGTTAGAAGCTGGAGAACAAGACCAGAGAAAAGTACTGTACAGTGATGTGTTAAATTATATACAAGGGTTGAATGAAAAGTAATGCCTCCAGTGCTATAAGTAACCAAGGGGTAGCAGAAGTGGTGCTCTAAAAATGTGTTCTTTAGCATCTCTTCTTTCACTTTAGTTGAGAAGAAGTTGCTGTAAGAAAACGTGTTGCTATTCTTGAAATAGAAGCCAGCAGCGAGTACTAATCACTGTGTTTTAATTGCCATAATTGAATTTTTGACTGCTGAAACAGTCCCTCCAATTGAAATTCACCAAATGCAGGTTGTTTATGGTGATGACTGTGTTGATGTGAGTACTGTGTATTGCTGGGCCCCCCAAAAAGTAAAGATGGTGAATCTCGAAGATGTGTATGATCAAGAACGAAGTGGACCTGTAACAGCAACCAATGAGTTTCACATAAGGAAGGTTGATGAACCAATTAAAGCTTGGCATTTCACAGGAATGCGTGGATCACATTATTGATTTCCAGTGTCAGAAGGTTCATGCAAGATGGATTCCTCACATACTGACAGCAGAGATGAAAATTTCAAGAGTTGAAATTTGCTAGCACTTGTCATTACACTATCAGAATAAAGGTGAGGAATTTCTTCACAGCATGGGCTCATCAGGGGTTGGGAATTGGAGCCACTATTTTAGGGTGCTTCTTGTCCTTCCTTCATGGCCTGTTCCGGTCAGTGTTGGCGGAGGGGGAGGAGAGGTCATCCCCCAGGCCCTTTTATGTGGGGTGCTATAGAACTTGACACTCTCCCTTCTATGCAGAGTTCTGTCTTATCCCATCTGTCATAAAGTCCAGACTTGGCATAATTCAACTTTACCTTTTAAGAGGACAATAGACAACATTAATGGAAGGTCAGCTCATCAGTGCACATGAGTCATTATGGCTCCATGTTGCCTTTAGTAATGTGGAGGAATTCTGTGCCCCCATGCAGCAAGTCCTGATACTAATTCTGGTGCCATATCTATTTTGGCAATGTGATTACATGTCATCATCTACAACACTGAAGAATGTACACTTGCTTGTCCTTGTCTGCTGCTTTACGCTGGGGAAATCACATTCAAAAGAATAAAAGAATCAGAATTTGTGGGTCCAAAACCACGAAGGGAGAATGTTTGGGCTCATCCAGTCACTCTATCATGGAGTGGCCATTCTTTTCAAAAGGAGATGTTATGAAGACAAATTTCACTGGAAAACAGGAGAACTGGAATTTAGTTGGAGCTGTAATGGATTAAAAAAATTATCAGAGATTCTTATCACATTACATTTTAATCAGGCAAGAACATCTCTCTCTAATATTATCTATAGGTAACTCCTCACATCTTCCTTTCCATGTCCTCCTTTCTCTATCAGTTATAATACTCATTTTCCTTTGCATCTAAAGAAGTAAATGATCATTCACAGAGGCATATGCAGTCATAAATATATTCATGTTTTACATGTCACAAGATGTTTTATGCTGTAAAAGGCTAACAGAAGCTGTGCCATTCGTAACAAAGCAGGGAATGCAAACCTTTGTCTCTGAAGCCTCCCCTTAGTCTGGGGCTCGGTATTGTTGCCATGGCAGATCCTTTTGGGAAAGGATAAAGAGCAGCTGTGCGCCTGCTCTGAGGGAGCACAGTACATCTTGCACTAGCCAGTTGCGGCAGCCATTCAAAGCGGCCATCACAAAGACAAGGGAGAGAGCAGGTATTTCTATTTTAAAATGGATTGCTTTGTCAGAATTTGCTTTCCCTGAAGTATAATTTAGTTGAAAAGAGGCTGTGCCCGGTGTTGTGACCATGCATTGCCCACTCGGCTTGCACACCACACATCAGTCACAAGATCTGGTCTAAACCAGGTGATTTCTCAAGCCATTTTCTGGACTAGAAGCTGTTCTGAGAAATCGCCCCGGGGCTGGGGTGATTAGGCAAGGCTTTGCTTTGGAAAGAGCAGGCTCACTGGAGGGGAAGCTGTCAGAATGAGAAGGGGGACCTGCTGCTTCTGTACTTATTGCAGGTGCCGAAATGTAATATCTCTGCACGTTTCTGGTGGTTTGAAAACCCACTCTGATTACCACAATCAGAACACCGTATTCATGTGTGGATTGTATGGAGGAAATGGAAAGATAGGTGTTAAACCTGTTTAAGCAGAAAAATGATTTTGCTTCTATCAGTGCTTTTGTAAATAGGCATCCTCTGTGGAACTGTGGGCAAAAAGTGTTTTGTTTGGATGCCATAATTTTAATTGACCTTTGAGATATGAAATGGGGAAATTTCCCCCATGCTTATTTAGCCTGCATTGTTATGTAATTTCTTTGGTTCATTGCATACAGATATTCTGACTCTTCACAGCAATGCTTCATGGTTTATGACTCTGCAACCCCACAGCTATGTATTCGTCCTTCTTTACTGTTATCAAGAATGGTTGCCTCATCATATCTAAAAGCTTGTGATTATATGATTTATTCCACATTACCTTGGGAATATTGTAAGATGTCACAGCACACTGCTGAAGTTCTGGGGTTAGATTGCTTGATATATATCATTACTACAGTGATATTTTTACTATGCTATCTAACTGTTGCAGCCTGTTCTAAAATTGTAGAACCAAATACTGTCATAAATGCTGCAGTTGACTGGAAAAAGTTAGACTACTTTGCAGCAGAGATTCTGCCTCGGTCCCATCTCTTTCAGGGCCAAGAAACAGCTTTGGGGTTAAAATGTGATTTTTGTCTCTGGGTGGGAAGTAATACAGTACAAGCAAGAAAATAAATAAATACAGGACCAGGAGTATCCTCGAGGGCATGAAGGATAAAAAAATCAAGAAGGCAACTGTGCCTGCCCCATCAAAGCCCTACCCCTTGTTACATTATGGCACATGTGATACATGTAAAACTGAGACAGGCCTTTGATGGGGCAGGCACGGGTGTCATCTTGACTCTTTTGACCATCCCACTGTGGATGCTCCTGGGACAGTGCTGCTTGTAGGACCTGGAGCGTTACAATTTGAAATGATCCCAACCCTTCTCATGCCAGTCATATCCATATAAATGTAGACAGAGTATAACAGAAATATTACAACACTAAGGAAAATAATTTACCACCTTTCTTTTAAGAAACCTCTTGGTATTATTACTTCTTACATCTATTATTAATTCTTACTTCTATTTCTGCTAATTCTATTAATATTATTCTATTATTAATTCTTACTCCTATTTCTACCAATTGCATGGATTTCGTGGAAAAGGGTGTGGCTGAAGATAATTTAATTAGTTGTGTCAGTGGGAATGAGAGATTGATTTGTGTATTCTTAATTTGCAGTTTTTACTCACATGGATTGCTAAAAAAAATTCCATTCAGCCAAATTATGTGCTTTGAAAGATCTCTGTTATCCATAACATTTCCTATTTTCTCCAGGGAAGGAGGAAGACTCCACTAGCAAGATGCTAACAGCTTGCACAAGCAAGATGGTACTTTTAGCCCCTTTACTTCTAATGGCTGGGCTGCTTTCTACAAAGGCCGCTACAGCTGAAGAAGAATCAGGAACAGCTATTCCTGCTGAAAGTATGTATTAAATTTCATCTGTCCTGTCAAGTCAACACAGTGTGCTTCCAAGCAAAAACAACAATTCTTGCAGCATATTAACAGATTAACTACTAGGGTCATATGGGGGGAGGGAGTGAAAAAAAGTCAAATGTAGCTGTGAACATGATGAAGCCCCCCTTTGCAATGTATGTAAAGGGGTGGGACTTTCATCATGCAGTTGCAGCCACCATGTTGTTATTATTTATGTACCCACACACCCTGCAGATGCATCTGAAATCTTTTATCTCAAGCTGGATCACAGATTGCAGTTAAATTGCACACAATATAATTCTGTTTTGCTGCAAAAGATTAAACCTGCTGGAACATTTTTCAACCAGTAATCACATCCAATAGCATGTGTCCCTCTTGGATATGCTCATTGCAACTGTGTCCATTGTATGCATACTTTTCATTAGAATTGTGAATTTGTTTGTTTGTTTGTTCATTCATTTATTCTCCCCTTCCTCCTCGTCTTTTACAGCTCCTCAACTCTAAGTGGCTTTAAGTCATCTTAACAAGTATTTTCTTCCTTAAAAAGCTTCCTGAAAGTTATTTTTTTTTTCAAATGGAGTTTTACGTTAATTACTTGAACTATCTGCTCAGTTTGAGTATCTTTCTCATTATTTATCATTTTTGAAAAAGTAAAATGTTTCCTTGGTTTTGTCAATACAGTATGGCAAATTCCCTATACTTCAGAAGATAAAAAGTTTGCTTTTCAGTTAATAATTTCAGGATAATGAAAAAGACATTCCTTATTTTTAGACACAGCACTAGCAGAACTTTCTAAGACAAATGTAATCAAATGTGTTCTAGATGTAGAAATGGTCTTGTAGAATACATTTTTTCTACAGACTATTGGTTAATGTTCCTAATTTAGTCCTCTGCACAAATGCTCTTTCTACTGAAGCTTTGAACACTTTCAATATCATTGTTATTAATTAAGAGCTGGCAAAATGAGAAGAGCTTGTAAATGTCTGCACTTTCCCATCCTCAGGTGCTGTTCCTCTTCTGATGCATTTCATAAAATCTTCCATTGAGGCTGCCTGAGGCAGGCAAGAGCAGCCACAATAGGAAAGTCCCTTAAAGCAACTGGTTTTTGTTTTGAAGCAGCTGGGTTAAGATTAGGTGAACACATAATCAACTTTGTTTTTTTGCTTGCATCTTTAATCAACTCTGTTTTCTTGCTTGCATCAATTTAAAAAATAATAGCATAAACTTCCTATGACATGCATTTGGTGCAAATTTTTACTAGGGTTTATGTACATGCTTTATGTTCCTTAACATGTGCATTTTTCCAAGCTAATTTCCTATTATAATGCATTTTTGTATATTTATCCTGATTTGGTGTGTGCGCTCTGGACCAGCACATCTACAATATTTTTAGTGGCTAAATGCATTGCAAAAGTATATTTTTGCCATACAGTTTTGAACCAATATACATATATTTTGGGAAGTATGAATTGAGTATGTTCACATTATAATACAGCCCAACCAAATTCCTATTTCTTTCTGAAATCAGAGTTAGCATAGGTCAAAGAAAAGTTTGCTTGTGCTAGTTTGGAAGCTTACTTGTACTCTAGAGCAGTGTTTCTAATCCTCAGCAACTTTAAGGTGTGCGGACTTCAATTCCCAGAATTCCCCGGCGATGCTGGCTAAGGAATTCTGGAAGCTGAAGTCCACACTTGCTGAGGTTGAGAAACACTGCTCTGCATACTGAAACATCAAATGGTATTTACTAAAGCTAAAATTGGAGACCATATGTGGTTGAAACAATTTTTAGCTAAAGTAATCTCCTTATGTTAATTTTTAGCCAATGTTATTTCCTACCCTTTTAAGTACCCTTGATCAAAGGAAAGATGTAAATTAGTGTTTCAGTGTTTTGCTGTTCTAACTTTGGAAGCTAGTTAAACAAATTCATTGATTTTTTTCACTGCAACTTTTTATATGTCTTGGGAAAGCCAAACTAGACTGATCAAGGATTCTGGAATGATTTTTCTAATTTATTTAGAAAAAAATTAATGCAATGATTGTGGATTGCCACCAGAGGCAGTAATTTGATTGCAAACCACTTCCAGCACAATCTGAAAATATTTTGATTAGTATAATGCACCATCAAAGAAATATTGTACCATCTGTGAATTATTTCTATAGTCACTTCCTGATGACATGCTGAGGTGGATTGATAAGCAATTTTATGTCATAAAAAATTCCAAGCAGACTCACAAGTTCAGAGCCCAAATCCTCTTTCCATATCACTGAAAGATTCTCAAGAGAGCATGTTATTTCTGAAGGAAGAGTGTTGTGTAATATATTTGCAATTGTAGTGATACATTCTTCCAGTCCTGTTTAATTTCTTGTTTGATGAAAAAATAAAAGGTTGGAATTGGTGACCAATTTTTCATCAAAATATATTCAGCTGAGATCAATTTCCCATCAGCGATCAAGTGTCTCATTCATCCATCTTCCCATTCTTTGTACAGGTGATATTCACCCATCAAAACTAACTTATTTAGGATTTCTTTTCTTTTGGGTAAAGAGACATGCTTATTCTAGTCTTGTCCAGGCACTGTATAGCTTTTACTGTTTTTGATAAGACCTCTTTTCAAATGTCTTTAATATTTAACTTGGCAGAATGTATTTACATTTTTTTTGTTTAGTTTTGATTGTGATGTTTTATAAGAACATTTAAAATAAAATTTCTACCAAAGATATTGTAGTATTTTTCATAAAATAAGCCAAAACCTATTTCCAGAATTTTGGAGAAACAGCTTTTGGCAACTATATAGATAGGAAAGTTAAAATGAATTGCATTGGTGCTATTTCTGGTAATGTTGCTCTACAGTGCAATAGCTTCTATTTAGAAGTTCCAAAGTGTCCGTTCTGAGCTTCTCACCTGTTTGGGGGATGTTTTAACTCTTTGGAGAGTGAGGGTGTTTGAAAATTAACCTTGGAACCATAATATAAACATGGAGAATTTCTGGCCCAGGGACCAAATCACCCCATCTGCTCTTCATAGGCTCAAACAAAGCTTTTCTTCACATCCTCACATCTTCTGGCCTCAAACCTTTTGTGTGTGCAGCAGGAGGTTGGGTCTCATACTAGCATGCAGTACAGAAGAAGGCTGGCAAAATTAACTTACTTACTTCCTTCCTTCCTTCCTTCCTTCCTTCCTCCCTCCCTCCCTCCCTCCCTCCCTCCCTCTGAGGAGAGGAAAACATTGTGTAAGAAACTGCAGTGCTTAGTTCCCAATGAAAGCAACTCCCATTGAAAGTGATGTAGGTTCAAAGAAAAGTTCATTTATTGAGAAGTAGCGTACAGTTCTAGAGCATTGCTGGAACTGAGTCCCGTGTGCGCCACAACCCAGTTTTACCTCATTCCCATCACACACACACCCTTCAGTCTTGGACCCTTTATTCGCATGTCGGGGATGTCCTCAGGTTTTACCGTTGGCATGACCTTGGGCATTCCTGGGAACGAGATAATAGCTCATCTGCGCCCAACAGTCCACATTCCCATTCTTTCTCCCCTTCCTCCCTCTCTCTGTAATGGCAGAAACAAAGCAAGCAAACTAGCGGTATAAGTGATTGATTGTGAGGGTTCTGACATGCCGCCCCTCTGGAAAGAAGAATCAGTTTTGGTCAACTTCCCTGCAGTTGGAAGAGATGCGCATGCCACAAAATGGACAACGCATCCGCTTGGATTGTAAAAGGTTTCTCAGGGTCAGGGTGTTTTAAAATCGGCTCTGCAGTAAACAACCTCTTTATTTGCTCACAAAATAGTTACTGACTTGTTTACCTGCTGTTTTGCTGTCATAGCCACATTCTAGGATAATTTTTCTGGATTCAGCTGGGACATACAGTACAATTTGCCACCTACCCACCATGCTCCATTTTTATTTGTCAAAGACTCTTTACTCTTCTGAAACCACTCATCCTTTTCTAAGTTACGGTTTAATTCATTCAGCAAATCTCCCTCTGGCTTGCACTCTTGCTGTTTACCTTGAGCTCTAGTAACAGCCACCATTCCTGTGTGGGAACATGGAACAACGGCGGTGACCACCTCCTCTCGCTGGCTATTATGCTGTGACAATCTAGACAGTGCATCAGCCAGGAAATTTTTTCCCCCTGATATATATTTCAAAGTAAAATTGAACCGATTGAAGAATTGAGCCCATCTGACTTGCTTTGGGGATAATTTCCTCAGAGACTTTAAAGCCTCTAAATTTTATGATCGGTCCAGACTTCAAAAGGATGAGGTGCCCCCTCCAATAGGTGCCTCCAACTCATTGGCGCCCACCGCACGGCAAAGGCTTCCTTTTCCCACACTAACCAGCATCTCTCTGTCTCCGTAAACTTCCAAGAAATGTAAGCACAAGGATGCAACACCTCACTTCGGTTTTTTGTAGTAAAAGAGCCCCTGTAGCCACATCCGACAACGCATCCGCTTGGATTGTAAAAGGTTTCTCAGGGTCAGGGTGTTTTAAAATCGGCTCTGCAGTAAACAACCTCTTTATTTGCTCAGATGCTGACTGGCATTCTTCTGTCCAATTTAAAGGCGCCCCCAGTCTTTGAGCTTTCGCCTTATCATCTTTCCCTTTTGTTTTTAACAAGTCAGTGAGAGGGAGGGCGACTTGAGCAAAGTTCGGAATGAACTGGCAGTAAAAATTTGCAAACCCCGGGAAACTCTGTAACTGCCTGTGAGTTTTTGGCACCTCCCATCCAACTATAACACGCACTTTACTCGGATCCATCTCAATTCCTCTACTGGACATCCGATATCCCAGGTAATCAATTTGACTTTTGTGAAATTCACACTTGCAAAGTTTTGCAAATAACTGGGCATTTAACAATTTCTTTAGTACCTTCCTCACCAACTCCACATGCTCTTCCATCATTTCTGTATACATCAGAATATCGTCCAAATATACCAACACTCCCTTGTATAAAAATGTGTGTAGCACTTCATTTATCAACTGCATGAATATGCCAGGTGCCCTTTAAGTCTCTGTGCTGCTCCAGAATCGAACAGGTGTCCTTGGGATCGCCCGACTTAGGAGACTCCACACCTGCTGCCGCTAGTGCTAACCTCGGGGGGCTGGCATTATTCATTTTTTGAACAGTGTAAGTCCCGTCCTGACTTCCAGTCCACATTAGGATTCCACAGCCTTAACCAGGACAGCCCCAGGATTAGTGGATGGCCAGCAATCGGAGCCAGTAGACACTTTAAAGTCTCTCCATGAGTCCCGACTCTCATTTCGATTGCTTCAGTGTAAAATTCTACTGGGCCCCCTCCTGCAAGTGACCCGTCTAATTGCATAAACACAATAGGGGTCTTTAACTTCTGCACCCTTAGTCCAAGTCCATTCACAATGACTGGATTAATTAAGCAACGGGCGGACCCAGAGTCTATTAATGCCGTTAAGTCCGCTTTGCAATTGGTTTTCAGGGCCCTCAGTCACACCCCAACCGTCATAGGACTCACCATGACATCTTCATTCTCCGAATCGTCTGCCGTTATGTCCTCACGCCTCGAGTTGTCTACCTGCTTTTGGCCGTGTTTTAAAGCAGGTGGTTGGAGTTTCCCGCTAGCTGAGCTTCATCCTCGGAAAACTCACTCTCCAGCATCAATGGGACTTGAAACTGCTCCTCCGCTCCCGAAGCAGCTGTTCCTTTCTTTTCCTGCTTGGGACCTTTCAAAGGTTTGCCGGTTTGCTTGCCTCACGGTGCTGCTCACGTGGTTTGGCTCTGAGGGCAGTTTGTGGCATAGTGCCCCTCTTCTACGCACCTGAAGCACGAGCACCTCCCTTGTCTCTGATCCTGGCCACCCTCCTTGGGTTTCCAGCCCGATCTTCTGGACATCGGGCCCGACGAATCCGCGACGTTTCGGCTGCTTTTTCTTTTAACAGACATCCAATCGGCCTCTACTTTCCCTGCAAGGTTGATCCACTTTTTCAGGGTTTCAGGGTTGTCTCTGGCCAGCACGCACTCTAGAAGGTCAGGTTGTAGCCCCTTTTGGAAATACTGGACCTTGAACTCCTTGGGCCAGTTTTGGAGCTTCCCGGCTAGCCCCTTGAATTCCAGCACATAGTCTGAGACCATTCAATTCCCTTGCTTGATATGCTCGATGGTCTTCTTTGCTCTCATGATTGTGAAGGGATCTTCGAAGGGTTTGTGCAGAGCAGTCATGAACCCATCCAAGTTTCTCAGCTCTGCTGCTCCAGCTTCATGCATCTCCACCACCCAATCCGCCGCCTTACCTTTGAGAGAGCCTGACACATAGGCCACTCTCTCTGCATCATTCCGGAACAGGCGGCCACATCCTTCCATGTAAATTTGCACTTGCATTAAAAAACACACCAACTGGCTGGGGTCCCCTCCGAATTTCATCTTCAGACCTCATTGCTGTAACGGATTCTTCTCCTCCCTCATACTTCTTCCTGGTGGGACTACCTCCTCTTTTTCACTAGACACGGATCCCTCACTCGCCTCCTTACTGTCCCCCAGGGATGTTGGGGGTCCCCCAGCCTGAAGTTGCTGAGCCCCGCTTCCCAGCGCTCTCTAGAGCAAGGTCTTCAATGACCTCCATGGAAGCTAGCTGCATCTCCAGCTTATCCAACGGCCTCTCTTCTCCTTCAGGGTTTGGGCCGCTTGTATGTCACTGACGCCCATCAACCACCTAACCACTGACTTATTCCTTGAGGACTTGGCAACTGCCCACTCCTCCAAATCCCCGGGATCTTGGAATCGAGCCCCGCACGTGGCTGCTCGCTGCTTTCTCCTCCTCACCGCCAGTTTTTCTGCTGGCTTCGACATCCTCGCTTCGGGTCCAACCGCTGGATCTTCCACAAGCTTCCACCTCGATAATTTCGTCTGCCATCCCGTCGTTAACCCCAACTCCTGTCAGAGCAATCTGCCGGATTTTCCTCGATGAGATTTCGCTCCGGATAAAATCCGAAAAGGTAGTTTCAGCAATATGTAAGAAACTGCAGTGCTCAGTTCCCAATGAAAGCAACTCCCATTGAAAGCGATGTAGGTTCAAAAAGTTCATTTATTGAGAAGTAGTGTACAGTTCTAGAGCATTGCTGGAATTGAGTCCTGCGCACACCACAACCCAGTTTTACCTCATTCCCATCACACACACACCCTTCAGACTTGGACCCTTTGGCGCATGTCGAGGATGTCCTCAGGTTTCACTGTTGGTACGGTCCTGGGAAAGAGAACAGCTCATCTGCGCCCAACATTCCCATTCTTTCCCCGCTTCCTCCCTCTCTCTGTAATGGCAGAAATGAAGCAAGCAAACTAGCGGCATAAGTGACTGGTTGCGAGGGTTCTGACACATGGTCTTCTCGTCAGAATGAAGGCTGAAGCCTCATTCAGCCTTTTTCTAATTCAGAGCTCGGCAACTTTTTCAAACAGCAAGTACCACCCCATCAAAAGCTATCAATTTCTCAACAGGGTAGCCAAAGAATACAACACTAGAAGGATAAACCAGCACCCGGTTTGGGGTGAATTGTCAATATGTGTTTTTTCAATGGTTGAATTCATTCTCTGTCATTCTACCTATCTGGTCAATATTTCATGGTTTTTTAATAAAATAAACGTCTAGGTATTTTTAATTTTTATAATATATATGTATGGTGCTTAAAGTGTATCCTGTCAGTTTAATCTACCTTTTGTTAATATGTATATAATATTGAACTTTATAATTGTATTTTTATATTTTATTATTATATTATATTTTATAATTGTGGGTATTTTTAAAAAATACAAAAATGTTAAGTTGTGTGAGACTTGTAATATTTTGTCCAGTTTTGATTTCATAGTTTTTAATTTTAGTTTAATTTTGAGCTTCTGGGTGTGCCACGTTGACCACTTCTGGTCTAAGTGGATGAAAGTTGAGTGGAAATTAGAAATAAATTTCTAATTTATTAGATTGTCGGAACTGAGCTTCTTCTTTCTCTAATATCATCCTGCAGGAAAATTTGCTCTCTAATCCACAGGCCAGATTCCATTCTTGGCCCATGGAAGTGTGGTCCTAAAAAACCCTTTTATCAATCAGTGCTGTTTTTACTGGGCTGCATATACCTTGTTGATAGACTGAGTTCCTGTGCTTGCTTTAGAGAGTTGAATACGTTCTGTAATATTTCATGTTCTTTAAGTCTTTCTATTAAAATCCACTTCCAGGTCGTCCATGTGTTGACTGCCATGCCTTCGAATTCATGCAGAGGGCTTTGCAAGATTTAAAGAAGACAGCGTACAATTTAGATTCACGAGTATGACTTTTTTGTTGTTGTTAATACACCTACACATATTTACTGAAAACAATTAAGATTGGGATATGTATTGTTCCAAAATTATATTGTCATGGATCTAACGCCTTCTATTACATGTACTTTACATAAGCAAGTAGTAGAAGCATTTATTTAAAATTTAATGCTTATACTAAGGAAGGTATATCTTACAGTATTGCTCATGGGGAGGGTGCTCTTTTTTTAAAAAATGAATTTTGTTAATTAAGCTGGTAACCATGTTTTGATTAGCTAGATTTCTACCAAAGGAGATTTTCAGTCTTCCAGTTGCAGAGACTAATTAATACCCATGTTTCCAGAACACGGTAATATTCATGGAACCAAATCTTTTGAATATCCAAACAAGATCACTACTGTAGTACTATATATAGTTATATTTTAGTGCCAGAAGTGGCACTCTGACCTGAATCCAGGAGCAGGGGAGGACATATAAGAATTGGCTTGTCCTTACAAACTCTGGGGGTAAAAATAATTCTGCTTGAAAAGTAAGAAATCCTCCTCCCTGGTTGCCTGCCTTAAGCTGCTTGTGAGTCAGACTGAAGAGAAGAACAGGTTAGAGCTGCTATTAAGGCCTACCTTGTGGCGGTAAGGATGGTGAAGCATCAGAACTTCCCTGCCCTTATTGTATCCACAGATTGCCACCCCACAGCCCTGTTTCAGGTGACACAAACCCTCTTGGGTAAAGGGAGTGCAGGGAACTTCTTACAGGGTTGTGCGGAGGAATTTGCACAGCATCTGTCAGATAAAGTCGCTCGGATTCATTCCCAATTGAATGCTGGCTTTGATATAGGTCCAGAGGAGATTCCTGGGGAGGAATCTTGCCTGGTTATCTGGGAACAGTTTGATCCTGTTGGGCCTGAGGAAGTGGACAGGGTCCTCAGGTCTGTGAGCTCACCCACCTGCTCTTTAGATCCATGCCCCTCCTGGCTGGTTAAAGCAGTCTGGGAGGTGTTGTGTGGGTTCGAGCAGTGGTTAATTTCTCTTTGAGTGAGGGGGTTGTTCCTCTACTGCTTAAAGAGGCTTTGGTCTGCCCCTCTTTAAGAAGCCATCACTCAACCCCACCATACTGGACAATTTTCATCCAGTATCTCACCTCCCTTTATTGGGGAAGGTGGTGGAGAAGGTGGTTGTGCAACAGCTTCAGAGGGCCTTGGAGGAAGCAGATTATCTGGATCCTTTTCAGTGAAGATTCAGATCCGGGCATGGGACGGAAATAGTATTGGTTGTGCTTTTGGATGATCTCTGGCATGGGTGGGTGGGGGTTGTGCTTCCATCCTTGCCCTACTTGACCTTTCAGCGGCTTTCAATACCATCGACCGTGGTATCCTTCTGGATCAGCTCAGAGGATTAGAGGTGGGTGGCACAGTGTTGTGCTGGTTCACCTCCTTCCTTCAGGGCCAATTCCAGTCGATTGGAGAGGAGAGGTCCTGCCCTCAGCCCCTATTAGGTGGGGTGCCACAGAGTTCAGTGCTTTCTCCTCTCCTTTTTAACATCTATAAGAGGCTGCTGGGTGAGCTTATCTGTTGCCATGGGGTGACATTATATATCTCTACTCCTGGTGAATTAAGCAATGCTGTGAATGTCTTATCTTGGTGCCTGGAGGCGGTAGGGATTTGGATAGGAAACAACAGGCTTCAGCTGACCCCTGACAAGACTGAGTGGCTCTGGGTTTTGGGGCCATTGGTACCGGGACTATGCCATCTTTGCTGCTCGATGGGGTCGAGACAGATCCAGTGCGCAATCTGGGAGTCCTCCTAGACTCCCGACTCCTGCTTAAGGAGCAGGTGGCAGTTGTGCCTAGGACGGTCTTTGCACAACTTCATTCTATGCGCCAGTTGTGCCCGTTCCTGGACCAGCAGGCCCTGCTTACAGTCACTCATGCCCTAGTCACCTCCAGATTGGACTAGTGTAATGCGCTCTGCATGGGGCTGCCCTTGAAGAGTGTCCGGAAGCTTCAGCTGGTGCAGAATGCAGTGGCGCAGGCAATTATGTGCATTCCTAGAACAGCGCATGTTACACCTCTGCTCCGTGAGCTGCATTGGTTACCAATTTGCTTCCGAGTCCAATTCAAGGTGCTGGTTTTAACCTTTAAAGCCCTTCATAGCATGGGACCGGGTTATCTGAGGGACCGCATCTCCCCAATTATATCAGCCCGCCCCATCTGATCTAGCAGAGAAGGCATGCTGCAGGTACAGTTGGTGGGTCCCAGGTGTTGGGCCTTCTCTGCTGTGGTGCCCGCCTTGTGGAATATTCTTCCCCCAATATTAGATTAGCTCTATCCCTTTTGACCTTCCCTGAAGACCTGGTTATGTACCAGGTCTCGGGCTCCCAAGAAACCAGAGACTTGCTTAGATGGCTCTACTGCTGAGTTAGCTATCCTTATTCCCTTTTGCCTAGGGTTGGTATATTTGTTTGTGTGTGTGTGTGTGTGTGTGTGTGTGTTTTTATCATATTTAGCTTTTAATGTTGATTTTATATTTTTTTATACTGATTGTTTATGTATGTGTTGCTTTTATTGGATTGTTGTAAGCTGCCCAGAACTTTTCTGTGAGATGGGTGGCTATACAAATTTGATAAATAAATAAATAATCTAGAAATCTGAGGGGGAAAATTGGACTCCCTGGAAATTATAACATTATATATAGAGGAAGCAAGGCATGCTTCACGGATGTTAGTGCAGGTACTGGGAGGGGTGTTGTTTGGTTTAGTGGCCTCTTTTTTTGTTCAAATCATGAAAAACGGTTCACTCTAAAGTAGATAGAATTTTGGTGACAGCAAAATGAGGTGGAGCTACACACAAAATAGCGAGGCTGGTATTTTAGATATTCGGTTGTGGATATTTTTCTATACTGAAGATTTGCATTTCTAACCCCTAAGTAAAGTTTATTCAGGAGAAAAGCAACCTTTTTTCTTTTCTTTTCTTTTCTTTTTGCCTGCAAGCAAAAAGACTGCTTCTGACTGCTGGGGAACAGATAGCTGACCAAAAAAAAGTTGCTTATCAACGGAAGTTGATAAGGGCTTCAAGAAACGTGATGAGGCGATGAGAATCAGGGTTGGTAGAAGGTTGGAAGAAACTGACTTCCTCTTTTCTATCAGCAACACTGTCAAGATTGCAGGGCGAAAGAGCAATTCATATGTGGTGTGTGTGCATGAATACAATAGTTGTTTCACAACAGCAGGTGTCAACTGAGCCCAGATCCCTGAACCTTTGTGAGTTACCCTTTGTGCAGCTCAGAGTTGTCCAGTCAAGTTCTGAAGAGTAAGGGTATCCTCACATGCCTCTATGGCACAGATCAGGACATGGAGATGGTTGGCGAACTGTTTTTGAAGAACATACTTATGTTCATAATTTTCCCTTCATCTCATCTCCAGAAGCAGCCTGCATTTGACTTTTGCGTTTCCGGATTTAAAGTAGTACTGGCCCTCTTCTCCCAAGAAAGTCTTGCTGGACAATCTATGACACCTCATTGATGATACTGAAGAGGACATGGCAGGGGATGGACCTGCCCAGCTCCCATTGGCCACTCTAGGCTGCTACAAGCATGCCCCCTCCCCTCTGGCTGCTGGCACTGCCCTCCATGGCCCTTTTGGCCTGGACTGCAGGAGAGATCAGCCATGAGGCATCTATGCTTAGGATGCATTATCTGTGCATTGCAAAGCGCTGTTTGCATATAACATGGGTGCAGTACTTTTCTGGAATAGTATTCAATGGTCTTTTGAAAGAGTGTTATACCTGTGTTTAAAGAAAAGGAGCAATGGACTAATGCTCTCTGAAGAGGCTGAGATTCCGTGCTGCCCAGAACATCTATTAAAACCAGGGAAGAGAGCCAGATTCTGACAGTTGTGTGTTGCTGCTTCTGTCCCAAATGAGTATCTTGTAAGTGCTCTGTTGCTTTGCATGGGCTGTCCTTTTTGCTCCTGGGAGGGGTGGGGGAGTGGCACTCCCACCATTTGCTCTTCTCCAGTCCCAATTTGCATATTCCATAGGCCATTTCTGAGTGCTGCTGGCTATGACTAACCCCTGCAACCATTGCCATTCCCTTGCAACAGTTGTTAGTTGCAGGGGTAGGGTTAGGCAGAAGGGAGCACTCCCCCCCCCCTTGTATGTGTGAACTGAGTTAGTGTCACATGAGTTATTTCTGAATGCAGATCTCACGGTCATCTGGAAAAACGCTATGCTTGTGTCTGAATATAACCTGGCTGATAGGTTAGTGAGACAGAGGAGGGGTCAGCATTAAAATGGAGAGAATGTCAGAGAGGTCCCTCTTGATTCACCCCATGCCCCTTCTCTGCCTCATGGCCTTCACGCAGGCCAGCCTGAAAACTGGCTTAACCCTCCCTCCATCCTGGGCATCACTCGCACTTGCCCAATCCTATCTCACCCCATGTTCAAGAGCAATTGGTGATGGTTCTTTCTGCTGGCTGGTGATGCTGTGGGACTCAGACCGAGGAATCTACCAGTCATTGCCCTTAAATTGTCCCACATTAGAGCCATACAGACAGTGCCACTTGAAAGCCTGGTTGCTAGGATAGTTACAGGCCTTGATCATTAGCAGCATGCAGATTACAAGGGCATAGTTTTCTGCCAGCTCCAGGGCTGGAGGAATGCACACTGATGTCACCATCCAGCTATAACCTTGTATTACTTCTGGTTATTTAGAAAGGTAGCACTCTCTGCCTTCCTGGATATTTTCAAACAAAACTGGAAAGCTGAATGGTCCAAGGGTCCTTCTAATTCAGTGAGTAGAAACTGTGCTGAAGTTAGTGATCAGGGTATGCTTTTATACTGCTGTTCATCTGTCTGAGGGAGTGGGAAACTGAAGGCTTGGGGAAGTTTAACGGCACTTTGGTCCTCTTCCCACCCCAACAGGAAACTAGCAATTAGTTGGCAGTTCTGGTCATGGTGTTGGGTTGTTAGATAACCATAGTTAAAATGTGGACAGCCACATTTATGTAGCCCATTTTTATATACAGTAATTGTATATAAAATTGTAAGATTTGTGTTGTTTTTAAACAAAGCATAAATCAGGATTTTAAAATCATGTTTTGTACCGGTTTTTTCATTTGGTTGTAATGGAGGAGAGAGAGACTGTGATGAAATTGGCTAAGATGCTTCTCCCCTGTCTCTCCCCCACCCACCCACCCTTCATGCAGACGGAGACGTTGCTTTTCAAAGTGGAGAAGAGAACCCTGTGTGACTGTTTAACCATCAACGCCCTGAACTGAGTCCTGGAGGTTCCGCCTAGGAGTGTCTTTGACAAGCTCATCACACCGCTGTTAGGAAACAAATAGTGCAAACATGTAAATCTGGATGCTTATGAAACTAAGTGGAGAATTTTGGTATGAGATTGCTGTGCCTGCCTTCAGCATATGTATGTCTTTCCCCTCCACTCGACCTCATCTTGTGTCATCGGGAGTTGCAAGATACTTTCCAAGGAAAAGAAAAGACGGGAGGGACGCAGTGATGGGTTTTTGCAAAAACTAGAGTTTTGTTTTCAGAAGCTTTCCTTTTTAATATTATATTCTCCCCGCACAGAAACCTAAAAGTAATCAGTGAAGACCATAGCAGGGATTCTGGGGATCTTTTGTTGGGGCTCTTTTCCCGTGAGTGTTTTTAGAAGTAATTGAATATTTATACCAAATAACGTATACAAAGCAGATTTTGATCATATGCAAATATGATGTTGATAGTGTGCAAAAGATGTAAAATGAAATGAAACAGAATCAGGTCAGAGGCTCAGTCATTAAACCATTTGTTTCATTATTAAAGAATATGAATTAACTGAAATCTAATTAAAATTAAAAAGCAGCAGCAACCCAAGAAGAGGCATCTCCGAAAGCAACTTCAGGGCAAGGAGGATGTGTCCTTTTCCTTCACTCCACCCCACCCACCCCAAATGGACCCCTCCCCTGCCATTTCTCTTCTGGGCAGCAGTCGCTCTCTGCCCCGTAGCCACATGCAGAAAAGATTCACAGCGTGATGTTGGGCGGAAGCTGCAGTGGGATCGTGCACCGCTTCCCCGCTGGGCCATGGCCACCAAGGGCAAGCAGCTCTGGAGCTGGCATGCCTTTCAGACCCCATGAAATAGCTGTTTGAGTGGCACAGCCAGAGGCAGAGCACTGAACCTACTTCAGCCCAGTCCTCATCTGCTGCTAAAGGGTCTCTTCTTTTTACAGTTGGGCCAGGACCACCATAAATGCCCCTTTTCCTTCCCTGGCACATAGGGAGCATGTCTCTTCTAAGCTGATTTCTTCTAGTTCTTTCTTCAGAACTGTTGGGCTAATAGACTAAAACTCCCATCATGAATTGATTAAAATCTGAACATTCAGGTCTAAAAATAAATAAGTAAATTGTTCTCCAACTGAATGCATTATGTCAACTTGTTTGGTGGACCTGTAAGGGTCCATAATAGATCAGGAGAGAAAGAAGCCAACTCCAAATCCATAGTGACGCTCTTAACATAAATAATTGATGAAGTAAATTTCTAATTGCAAAATTCAAAAACCACTTTTTTGGGGAGGGGGGAGTTAGGTTCATCTGCAGAAAGGTAACAATTACAAAAATGAACAGTCATGTAATGTAACTTCTCCTTGACTTGAGGGAACAAGGTTTCACTTAGGCAAAAGGTCTAAGACATTAGTGAACAAGGCCTGTAAAGGATTTCATTTTTCTACCTTTTCCTTATAGATACGTGGAAGTGCATCTCTAGCCATACCTTCATACTTCTGTGAGTTGGTACACTGAGTAATTTGTAGTTCATCTGTTATCTCCTAACCATTTTAGCTGAACAGTGTTCTTCCATTATCAGTGTATCATAGACATTATCTATGTATCATTTCTTTTCCAAGAAATGTTTGTGTGTGCATACATATGTAAATGTACAAACACTTCTAGTACTGGGGAAATATACTTTTTAAAATAAAGATCTGAGATCATGACATTGGATTGCTATATTCCAATTCATAGATTTTTTTGGAGAAGCATAGATAATATTTTACTAATTCTTAATATTTCTACTGTAATGTTTATTGACCTAGTTCTTTTTAGAGTGTTCTTCATTCTTCTATTATTACTATAGTATTTTCAAAACTGCCAGTTCAGGTGGATGTTCACTTTCACTTTTGAAAGTTTGGTGATTGCAGCATAAAGGTTGAAAGCATGTTGTAAGTGTAAGCTGCATCTGAGAAGTCAGAAGCACAGGATGACTTCAGGTATCTCAGGTCTGCAGAGATCCCGGGATCCAAATATCACTATTTTCTTCTTGCCACCAACTTGGGTATTTTAGCCTTGCTTGCTTGCTTTATTTATTTATCCTCTATAATAATCTGCATTTGCTTGTATCTGCAATATAAAATGCCCGTTTTCATGAGAAATTGGAAAGGGGCTGTGAAGTGTATACAATGCCATTCTGTTTTTAGAAGTAGAAAGCAAAGATTAAATACCCGATTAAATACCTAAATTACCTGACTAGGATAATTGCTGCTTCTGTGCAACAAGGAAAAAAATAAACCCAACGTGCTAGAATGCTGAAATTATCAGTGTGAGGAGAAGAAAGTCAGGATCAGGCCTCAAACCTTTTAGCTAATGTTCAGAGAAAATGGCAGGAGATCATGTTATGGTTAAAAATAGAAGAACGTGGTTGGGCTCCTTCCTCCCCCTCTCCCAATAATTCAGCTCCTGAAAGGTTGAATAGCACCAGGGGTTTTTTTTCCTATAACTATGCTGCAGCTACAAAAAGAGACCAGGAACCACATAAAATACCCTCCTTATTTAAGGAATCTTAAATGTGTTTATGAATTTGAAATGTTGCCAGAAAAGTAGTTGTTGTTATGTTGGTTCAACTCTTAGTTGGGGTCAAAGTTCTGCACTTAGCTGGGTTCAGTACAGCACTGATGTGTGTGTACAGATGGATGGATGATGGTGATGTGTGTACATTTGTGAAGTTTTAAATTAAAAAAGGTTTTAAAATTACAGCTGCATAACAGGGAAAGTGTGAATTAATCCATCACCTCCATCAAAGAGAGGGGAAACTGGGCGGTCAAAAGCACCTCCTCAATGCCCCAGGCTGAAGTTGGACTCAGATAACTCAGCTTCAGACTTAAGCATGTAACATTTTCCAGGAGGCTGAAGGTGGCCATGGGATTTGAGTAGCAATGCTGGGGGCTGCCCACCCAAAACCAGTGCATGGGACCAGAACAAGAAACAGATTTTGATTGAATTTAATTTAAGTTTAAAATTAAACACAGTGAAAATGATTACTTTCAAATCATGTAAATACTATTCTCACAGTGTAATTTTTAACATGGTAGCAACTTCTGGAAGTCCTGACCATGTTTAGGTGACACTTGCAGGCACTGTCACACTTCTTAAGAAAATTCCACCACTAAGACTTGTAATGAGCTCTTCCCCATACCACATTGATGCTAAAAGAAACGTGGAAAAAAGAACTGTGTCTATCACATGCAGTAGCAGAGTGTCATGGGATGCTCAGTTAGCTAGCACATGATATTCTCTGGCAGTGTCCCAAGAGACACTGTGCATTTTTGCAGGACCTTTGCCAATCTGGACCCAAACAGGTGGCAACATCTGACTGTCTTTGCTGATCCCATCAGGCTTGGTTAGCAGTGGGCCTAAGACCACTAGGGCTGTAACCTAGGCTGGACATCAAAAACATCCTAGAAGAAGACAAAGGTGACCCCTTTCTGTATTGTTGCCAAGAAAACTACAGAGGTGCAACCATGAAGACTTCAAGTATTAGACTTAACTCAAAGGAGATGTTCCTTGCCAGACAGATGGGTGTCCTGCCTCTGCTTGAACATTTCCAGTGAAGGAGAACCTATCACCTATTTGAATAAACAATTCCCCTGCTCAGTGATCCTTGGGACATTTTTCATAACATTCTACCAAAAAATGCCTTCCTAAGATTACCATTTCTTGTTCTACATTCTGGGATGAAAGAAAGAGGTCTACTTGGCCTACTTCTCTGATGAGTTATAACATTGAGCTAACAGTGCATCCACTTAATTGTCCCACCCATGCTTAATTAGCTAGCTAATCAGCATGTCATGGAGTATTTCGTCAAGTGTTTTGCTGAAATGGCAATACAGTATATTACCTCCACAGATTCCCCAATCTACTAAACAAATTACCTAATTTAAAAGATGAGACCAGGGTAATGTCTTCTGGAACAAACCATGTTGGCTTCTGGTATTTGCCCCTTGTTTTCAGACATGTCCATCTCTGAATGAGCACTGTTCTGTAGTTCCCCCAAATTCTCTTTCCATCCATCTCTGACATCTGATACCTTACCAGTTCTTCAGGATTCAACAAATATAATACAGAAAGATTCAGCCAAACCATTATGTAGTTTGTTCACAACCCTAAGATGCAATTAATCTGATCTTGGAGCAATAAACTCCATTAAGATAAAAAAGGTATTCCCTGATAATGTTTCTATTAATCTTGAGCATTAATTCTGCTGCTTCATCCTGTTTCCATCCATCTCTGACATCTGATACCTTACCAGTTCTTCAGGATTCAACAAATATAATACAGAAAGATTCAGCCAAACCATTATGTAGTTTGTTCACAACCCTAAGATGCAATTAATCTGATCTTGGAGCAATAAACTCCATTAAGATAAAAAAGGTATTCCCTGATAATGTTTCTATTAATCTTGAGCATTAATTCTGCTGCTTCATCCTGCTCTTCACAACATACTTTCTTGCAAAAGTAGACTGAACAAAATAAGAGGTGAGTCATTCTGCCTTTTATTTGTTGCATGCTAGTATTTTGCCATCTTCGTTAAGATGATTCTTTATTTGGAACATTCTAAAAAAAGCAGTTTGGGCTTTTCTTAGTTTTCTTTGCTAACCTGAGTTCATTCTGAGTTTTAGCTTTTTTGATTTCTTCTCTGCAGCTCAGGGTTACTTGGATGTATTCTTTCTTGGAGACCTGGACCCCCTTCCATCTCCTATCTCTACCTTTTTCCTTTTTTCTAAGTTTTTTGTGTACTTACATTGGTTTCTTCTGTCCTCCATTTCTCACCTGAATTTTTTTGCAAGTGTGCACTTTGTATCCACGTTTTCTCCCTTTTTTTTTTTTTTAAGAATATCAATAGATACCAGCTACACTATTGCATGGAAGGTACCCATTTGAGCTCAGATGCCTCAACAGCACTCATCCTCTCAGATTTCTAAGCAGGTATATATTTTAACATATAGTGTGGCCCTTTCTTCCTTTATATTATTTTCATTCTTCTTGAACAAATTATATCCTTCAAGTGTTACATTCCAATCACTGGTGTCAGTTATACCTATATTAAAAGTTCAAGCTCATCTTATTTATTTCCCATGTATGAGAATCATGTAACTTCCTGAATTTTACTGAGTAGGTCAACAGGCCCCAAAACAACTATTCTCTCATTTCTTCCTCTATTGCATAATAAGTTTCTTTCTCCACAGGATTCAGATTAAACCCTCTTGACCAAGGTCATCAAGTCTCAGCTAAACATATTCTTCTCAGTCTCAGTGAATTTCGACTTGTCTTGTATTACCAATCTTTCAGCCAGGAAGAAAAGGCCACGCTTCCAGAAATGGGATGTCTCACAGTGACACACTCTTCATAGCTCTCCTCCTCCTCTTCCTCCTCCTCCGCAAATGGAAGGAATGAATGACAAAGCCACGAAAACCCAATTCTTGAGCTTTCTTCCTAGAGCTTAAAAGTCTAGGGGGGTACAGCTGTAGCTACTCTAGTCAGAATCAATCATTCCCACAAAGAGAAACAGCCCAGTCCCTTACATAGGATGGCTTACCAGGGAAAACCTGCCCTGGGATTGCATTGGATACCCCAGAGCCTCCATGTTGTTCTTCAATGACTTTTGATCATCCACAGGTCTTTTCCCCCAATGCTAAGCTAATTAGCTTTTTCCTCCTCTCTCCCCTGAAAGATGCTTGAAACTGCAAAGGAACGTAGCAGTTGTCTTATTTCTTAGTGTAAAGGATGAAGGGGGCAGCCTTTGCTTCCCACTGTTTCTATACATTCCACTAATTATTCAGAAGTAGTCAGCCCCACTAGGTAGACCCAACCAAGAAATCAACTCCACCGGGAGGCTAAAACTACTTTTATTGAGATTGGCTCTAATAACAGAATCTTGCAAGTTTGATTATGCTGTACCTCCTCCTTCTTATAGTTCAATGAATTAGGGAGGTGTCTATCTGAGCCACTTCCAAATGTTATCTGGACTTTCTGGACTTAAAAAATACTTTAGCCCCTTTTGCCTAGGCAACAGATTCTGCATACAGGCAGTCCTCAGTTAATGACCATTTGTTCAGTGACCGTTCGAAGTTACAACAGCACTGAATGAGGAAACTTACAGCTGGTCCTCAAAGTTGGAATTGTTGCATTGTCCCTGCAGTCACGTGATCGTGATTTGAGTGCTTGGCAACCGGCTTGCAATTACAACAGTTGCAGTGTCATTTGTGACCTTCACTGCCAGCTTCCAACAAGCAAAGTGTCAGGTCCACCCCAAGAACAACGGTGAAACAGTCCAGTTGAGTTAAGTTCCTTTATTTGCTTACATCATATAGACAGAATCTTGCCAGACTAAATCTATACTACTGCAACGAATGGATGTATCCTGGGAGATTCTAGGGAGTGGCTATCCTGAACCTCTTATGCTTCCCACGCTCCCCCTGTGGACTGTGTTGTCTTTTGTCTCCTTTCCCTTCCTGGAACACACCCTCTCCTTCCTGATAGCTTTGCTCTCTGTTGCTATCCACCACATTACCCTCCCCTTTGTAGATACATTCCATCATACAAAGTCAATGCAGAAGCTGGCAGGAGGTCACAAATGGCAATCACATGATGTTGCGCCTAATGACCGTGCAGAATTCACCTAATGACTGCAACTGGAACTGCCAGAACTGCCGTTGTAAGTTGGCATGGTCACATGACATTTCACTTTACAAGTGTGTTGGTTAGTGACTAAGTTCCCAGTCCCAATTACCATAGTTACCAAGTATACCTGTATCTCCATCAAGATTATCTTCCTTACTCTCTACAAAAGTGTTGTAAGAGACAGATTTCAACTGAGAAACAGTAAAATATCATCTCTATGTTGGTAAACTAATTTTATGCTTGCTTGCTGATTGATATGTCCTGCTTTTCCTCCAAGAGGTCAAGGCAGCATACGTAGCATTTCATGCTCTGCTTTTCCTGATAACTTCAATCCTGCGAGATAGGTTGGGCTGAGGCAGAACGACTGGCCCAAAGTCATGCAATGAACTTTTACATCAGAAGGTGGACCTGAACCTAGGTCTCCTCAATTCTGCCCAACACCTTAACCATTATACCACACTGGCTTTTAAATTTTTGTTTAATAGTATCGACAGAAGCATACCATACTATCGACTATGGTATCCTTCTGGACTGGCTCCGGGAATTGGGAGTGGGAGGCATTGTTCTGCAGTGCTCCTCCTTCCTCTGTGGCTGGTTCCAGTAAGTGTGTGTGTTGGGGGGGGCAGACAGAGGTTTAGCCGTAGGCCCATGCAGCATGGGGTGACTCAGGAGGGCCAGGGTCTCATATTTCATGTTAATCTACATGAAACCGATAGGTGAGGTCATTCAGTGGCATGGGGTGGGGTATCATCAGTACACTGATGATACCCAGTTACACACCTCCACCCCTGCGCAGGCAGGTGATCCTGTTGTGGTTCTGACCCAGTCCCTGGAAGCTGTGAGGATCTGGAGGCAGAGGAGCTAATTCTGACTCAACCCTAGCAAGATGGAGTGGTTTGGGGTTTTGGCCACCTGAATTTGGTGAGGTGTCATCTTGACTCTTGACAGAATAGCACTTTCCTGTACATAGCTGGTGTGCAACTTGGGAGTCCTCCTGGACTTGTGGCTCTTGCTTGAGAAGCAAGTGGCAGCCATGGCTTAAGGGTGCTTTTGCACAGATTCATCTTGCTCACAATCTCTCACTTAACAACCACAGGTGATTTGCTTAATGACTGCAGGGGAAATAAGGTCGTAAGCCTGTCATGGTCACGTGATGTTTTGCTTAATGACTGCATCGCTTAGCAACAGAATTGCTGGTCCCAGTAGTGGTTGTTGAGTGAGTATTGATAAAAAGCATTGGATGCCAAAGTTCTTTA